AAAAATTTTTTTTTGGTTTGAATATTGTTATTTTTTATTTTTTTATTTTATGTAAATTTTATACGTTATTTTAAATTTCTTAATAATTCTGTATACATTAATTTTTTAAAAAAATATAAAAAAATAAATCATTATAAAACATATGGAAATTTGATATAGAATCATTAATTACGTATACAAATTTTATAAAAAATGTATCATTTCCTTATTTTGATTTCTTATAGGGTATTGTATTGCCAAATACCTCAACAATGGTAATGTAAATTTTATTAGAAGTTCAGAATATAGGCGATATATGTGTAAAATAGCAGGCAAACTATATTCATATGAATCGCTAAAAATTAATTATTATAAAACTGAATATCTTAATATTGAGGGAAAGCTTAATAGTATAGATTTCTTAGATTCGAAAAATAATTGTGAGTATATGCAATGAGTTTTTTGAGCTATAGATTCTTTACCAAAATAGTATATTTCATATTTATTATAATAATACAATAAATTAATCCTTTCTTTTTTTGTATAGATTGCCTACTAAATATATCACCTGTAAAGGAGAAATAAAACACGTGATTTTGACCAGATGCCTGGCTAAAATATACCAAGAAAAGTTACAATAGATTATTTTTTTCAAGAAAAAAAGAAAGTTCGTTCAATAAAGCAATCATAGGGATTCTTGATTTCTAAATATTATGTGAAGTGTCTTATGGCTAATTATAGCTTTAAAAATTTCTATGCAACAGTTATCTAGCGAGCTTACAAAAATTATAAGAAGAGACCCGTATCTTTGGCAAAACAAGTTCTGGAGGTGATGAGAAATGATAGTACTCCTAACAGGTGAAAGTATTTAGGTATTATTCCTTGTGATGGGGCTTATTATTATAATAATAGGAAACTCATAAAATTTAACTGAAAAAGTGATTATTTTAATATGGTATATAATCATACCCTTTATTTTCCTATAACTTAGATGGAAGAAAAATATTACAATAAAAAGGTTATATACTAAATTGGTATACTATAATAAAATGAACACAAAATTCTGAATATTATCTTGATACTAAAAAAAGTCCAGTTAGTATACTAGTAGTCAGAATAAAAATGCTGGCACAACTCAATTTGCATATTAATTTTCCGCCTAACAGTAATTGGTAGTATAGAGATAAAGTATCTTAAAAGCACCTTCAAGAAATATTTCTTAATACCATATCTAGTATTATTTTATAAATATAGTAGGAGAAAACCATCTATAGATTTTTTAAAATATGATTGAAGTGATTAAGATTGCTGGATAAAATCAAGAGTTTAGACAGACGTTTAAATGGTAGAAGTAAAACTTGGTTAAATTATATTAAAACCTTATTAAAAAATCTGTGAAATTCAAAAAAAAGGTAAAACTATATTAAAGCTTATAAAAATAGCGAAACTATATCAAATACTTAGTAAAAATTTAGCGAAACTAAAGGTTTTACCGTTTTGCTAAATCTAAAATGAGTTTAGACAAGCAACCTCAGAAGTGATACATAAATAAAAAATAGTTCAATATAGGAAAATATATTATATTAGCTTCATATATACTTACGCCTTGCTAATGACATATAAGGCCAGTCTAGTGTGACAAAAATAAACATGTTCCTGATCCCTATTAAAGCTTATGAAGTGCATATATGATATAATAGTAATATACTACCAATCATCAGTATGAGTATGACTATCTGCTTGTGTGACAAATTAATTTCACACATAAATCAATCTTCCAAAAAATATTTTGATTTTTTTCTCTTGCAATGTTCTAGAAAAATAATATATTAACTGATATATATATTTGCTCCAGAAAGACAGATTATTTCTACTATATGAGGTTTATCTATTCTGATTGAAATACATTATATAGCGTTGTTAGGTCATAGTATTAAGTAGATGGATGAGAAATCTATATATGCATTACCTTCAACATCTTTTTAAAGTTGAGATTTTTAATGCATATCTTACATGCCTTATTCTCGAACACAACATTTTTGGCATAAAAAGCATTGCATATTCTTTTGCTTTGACAGAGAGATGTGGATGAAGAAATTACAAATATTAAAAGGGCAGTATAGTGAAATTATTATGCCTTTACATTATTTTTTTACTTTGTTTAGCAAGCTTTATACTAACTTTCAACTTTTATTTTATCAAAATATTGAAGAATTTCTTTTAACAAGAGAACCCCTTAGTATCGTCAGAATTTTCACAGTATTGTTTATACGAGTAAAGAAAGGTGAATAGACAAGTGTTCTCAAAAAGGAGGTGGAGAATTTTAAAAATATTTTGGAGAGAGTTTTAGAGCAGGTTCCTTCAGAGGATGTTAACGAATTAAGAAGCTTCAAAGTTTTAGTACTAAAAAAATTGGCAAAACAAGTAAGACAATGAATTATTTTTATGATAAATATATGGATATGATAATTTGTATTTTTAGGTTTTTTTTAGCATGTATATTAGTGAATGCGCTGTGTTTGACGTGAATCTATCACTTTTACATGGCAGTAACTAGTAATATATATTTATTGAACGTGCTTTTTAGCTGATCTACTACTAACATTTTGATAGTATATAAAAACGAAAACCTAATCTGATCCTGCAAAGTGATGTTCAATTTAATTTATTAAATTAACATTGAGCATGAGCTAAAGATAACTATATTTTAGGTAGAGATTGCATTTGAAGATTTATGCTCGCTCACAGGAATGAAAGCTTTGATAATTGATGCTGAGACATAGTCTGAAGATGTCAATGCAAATCTACAGCTTTTAAAACATTATGTTGGACGGATCATAAATAATAATTCTAGTTATGAAAAAACTATGTGGGAAAGAATTGAGACAGAATTAGAAGAAGTTGATATTAAAAGTCTTGGATTTGACTATCCTATATATTCTGAAGTTCTAGATGTTAAATTAAAACCTTTCACAAAGATGCCTAGATCATTTTGTGATATTTTTAAAGAACTTTCAAGAAATACAAGTTAGATCATAATAACATAATAATGGATACTTGTAGAGAAATTATCCATAATGAGGAATCAAAGATAAATTTAGATGAAGATTTGAATGATGTTGAATTTGGAGAATGACTAGATAGCTTTGAGAGGCTTCAAAAAATGACAAGACAAATACTAGAATGTTTGTAAGTTCGCTTGAATTTTACTTACTATACTCTACCTTTTTATATATGTTAGCTTACAGTATAAATAATGAAACTAGACGGGATCTTTTATAGGTTTAAAGTTTGAAAGTCACCTAAGTATGAATCCTATACAAAAAAGAGGAAACTGATTAATGAAGGATTGTATGTCTGTGAAGTACTTGCGCCATTAATAAATATAGTAATGAGAGAATTGCCTGAAAATCCTGCTATATGGATATATGATAAGTACTACTTCTAGTATCAGCTATAAAATAATTCTGTAACGCTATTTTTTCTTATTTAATAATTTTTATAAAATAGGGGTGAAGAGAGGAATTTGGCTAGCACTGTATGAAAAGGATCTCATAAATTTGCATAGAAACCTGATTATATGACTATAGTGCAACTGGAAAAAGGTGCAGAGCTTGAAGTTATATATCTCGAAACTGGCTTGCCAGATTCTAGTTAAGACAAGCGCCAGCAAGACCACAAAAAATTAGTATAATTTTCTAAAGATTCTATCAACACTACTAGAAAAATATCAAAGCTTAAGAGGGTATTTAATATTTCATCTAAGAGGTAGATGTTATCTATATTTACTATAAATATTGCAGGTAATGCATTATGCAAAAGCACCTATAACTATTTTTTTTTACATTTCAACTTGTATTATAAATCAATAATTCTTAACTATATTACTTTCAAACATTTTTAGGTGACGTTATAGAATTATATGTCATACGTAGAGAATCTGGTATTTACAAATACTATCTAATAGAGAAAGTACCGATTCCACTACATATGACTTTACCAAGTGCTATATACCCTCTTATCCATACTTTAATAATATTAAGCAAGTACAATTCATAAAATATTGCATAATACCAATTTTGGAGATAGTGAACATAGTTCTGACGAAATGACAATAACTGTTTCGACTCCAAAAAATCCATAGAATAGAAATCTATTTTATACATGTAATTTTATATACTCCATGGCTAGAGCTCCAAATCAGGTCAGGTCAACCTGTGACCCGACCTGAAAAATCCAGGTCGGATAGACAAATTTTCAGGTCAACATCAGGTCAGGTCAAGCTTATGACTCGACCTGATAAAATTCAGGTCAACCAATCAAATTAAATGAAATAAAATATTTAAAAAAAATTTTTTTTGTCTATTTT